TTTCGTGAATCAATGGGGCACTCCCTATGTCCTCTTCACTTTCATGTTATGACAGTGGTATTAGTTCCAGATGGTGAAAGTTTTATCCACTTGGACCCCTGTGGGAGGATAACATGGAGAGAAACTATCTACAAACAGTTCATCTCACAACCCATGCAGTGTACACAAGAGACAAGCATTTGTGATTTCACCCAAGATCATGGTGCAGCATAATCATGGTGACAGAAGAAGCTCCCTTGTCAAGCTAATCCTGATCAAAATGACCCTTCACATTAGGGTTCACCTGAACTCCTGAATATTCTGAACAACAGAAAGGAAGTCTATAAATTAAACAAAACTACATCTGTTAGGGAACTGATCATGTTAAAGTATGCTGTGAGGCCGCCTCACAGGCTGCATTCTCCTGTACCTCTTGGCTCCTAAAACGACCTCATGCCCTTATCTCTGGTTTCCCTCCCCCAAGGCCACAGCGGTCCAGAGAGGTTAAACCTGTTTCTCCAGGGCCAAACCCATAAAGGGCAACCTGACCTGTGATAGGTTAAAGGTAGCCCACTCCTCATGAATAATCAACAGCCTGGCCCAAAACCGATAAAAGGACCTTCCTTTCTTCTCTTCTTCTCTTCCTCTCTTCTTCTCTTCCTCTCTTCTTCTTCCTCCTCTGTGTCTCTGCTCTCTCTGGTCATTCTCTGCTCTCTCTCTGCTCTCTTTCTCCTCCCACCCCTTGAATAAAATCTCCAGTCGGACCTCTAGGTGTGTGTGGCCTAGTTGTTGAGTGTCACAATTCCCTTTCAACATCTATCTGTCTTTTTCACATCTGCAGTCAGGAAAACCACAGAAACCAGCAACCTCTCCGACCTGTAATTACGGGAAACGCGGTCCCAAGACACGGCCACTGCCCTGGAGTCCTCTCCACACATGCTCATGGCCATGCTTCCTGCAGGCTGCTCCCATCCACTGACTGCACGCTGCAGGGACACCAAGGCAGGCTATTCCTGGGAGACACAGGCCTCCTCTGCGGGCTGTTCTCAGACTGCACAGCAACCGCTCACTCCCTCCTTCACTTGGGGTCCGGCTGGCATTCAGACTGACAATTCTCCCAGCCTTCCCCATCTTGCTCCCTATTTTCCTCTCACGCTGGCATTTCCCAAAATAGAATCCTGTCTTGGTGTCTGAGGCTAATGTAACTACACCAGTGAATATGCAGCTTTGAAATTTTAGCTTGAAAAGTTAAACATACGGACACAAGTAACTGTTACTGGATAAAAGAAGTCCCATTAATTTGAAGTCAAAAAGTAACAGTTTCATGCAAAATGAAATATATTTCTATGGCTGAATCTAATTTCTTACTGCTTATATTAACAAAGTATATTTTATTTAATATGACTTTTATAAAACATAATTTCAACCTGTCCATGAAAATTCACCCTTTTCCAAATGTCCAAAGCAGGCTTCCAATCCCTTATACAAAACCTTGGAGACCACGCGTATTGTGGAATTCCAAACGTTTAGAAAAGTAATACATACATCACTATATTTAATATAACATCGCCGGGGGACCAAGGGCAGTACTTCATAATCAGATATATTAGTATTTCTCCCACAAAGAGTATAAATATTAACACAAGAAGCTCAAAGCAAACAGTTTCAAGATAGTTAAAGTAGGGTTGGACATCAAATTCAGCATAGGTAGTGTGCCTAGTGATTTACAATAAAACATTCAGTTTCAGAGCTTTTTGAGTTAAACCTGTTTTCTGGTGGTGGTACTAGGTAGTGAACCCAGAGCCTCTCACATATTAGACAATGTTCTACCACTGAGCAACATCCCCAGCCCCAAAGCTTTTTGAAGTTCAACAAGATGTGGATAAGAAACTGTGGGCCTATCTGCTCACACTACAGAAAACTACTCGGCCCTTTAAAAAAAAAAAAAATCAGATATGGCTTTGTATTAACACAGGAGAACAGACGGCCACCCCACTGTGGTAGATGAAGAAAGCATTAACAGGACTTGCAAAGGCAGTGCAGTATGACGCATGCACGGAGTGGGCAAGGAAGAGGAGACACAATCCTCTCTGGCCAAATGCTCTATTTCCTCACCCTTCATACCCAAGACAATTTGGGATGACTTCAACTCTGGTTAAGAAATGCTGTGGAAATACTGTGCATGGCTATTGTGATGTGAGGAAATTCTTAGGTGTGAATTTACTTGTGTTACATACGAGACAGAAGAACAAGTTCACCTCTGTAAATGGCCCAGGTCCGTCACAGGGAACCAAAATGTTCTGCATGAATCAGGAGCTCAGCAAGACAGTGCACAAAGGAAATTTACATGTTCAAAACGCAATGCTCATCTGTCAGAGCAGCGCACAGCAGAGCCCAGTCCAGACTTCTAGGTACCTCTTCCCACCATCAGGGAAACACCCCTGTGCAGGTATCTCTGCGCACTGGCCACTCACAGTCAGGCCCCTCCTTCACCAGCCTCCAGAGGGAGAGCTGCTTGTCCTCTCTGCTCTGCTCCTGCCCAATCCTTTCAGCTCCGAATGATAAAAACACAAACAAAAAAATGGAGCCTAGGGAGAAAAATTAAGGAAGGAAATTTTTGCTCTCCCTGATTACCACATAGAAACGCCCTGGGAGAAACTGTCTGAAATGGATAAAAATTAAAAAATCTTAATTAGGAAGTTGTAAATTCAATTCTAATATAGTAACATTCACTTTTCATTTTCTATATTCAGCACTGTTTTTTTTAAATAAGCATTTTTAAATTCATGGTTTTAAAACTCTTACTTTGGGTATAACTGAAAATAAAATCATATATTTCTCCATCTAAAATGTTGGCTTTGTCCTCTTACAAACCACTGTCAGGGAGGTGCCAAGTGCCACTTTAACAACCACGGAATGTGTATGCTGTTTTCTTAACACCGGAGTCTGCTGCACTGTGTTCCATGTGGGAGAAACCCCAGCGCACCAAACACAGCACAACCCTGCCCCCAGAAGGGTCCCTTCCACTGGGGATAGGAGGTAAGCAAGCATATCTAACCACTGGATTCTACCTGAGGTAAGCGCTACGAAGGAGACCTACAGTTCTGCCAGCAGAATCCTCAGAACAGCTCGTACAATGGATCCAATCCCCAGTTACAGATAGACCAAGAGTTGTCACTCAGTTATAGTTAGAGAGGAGGAAGATGTTCCGGCGTGCAACTGCGTGGTAGGGTGACTACAGGTAACAATGATGTATCTACATTTCAAAAAGCTAGAAAAGAGGTTTTTGAAAGTTTTCACCATAAAGAAATGGTAAATGCTTGAGAACATAAATATGTTTACGGGATTTAAACACTGCACAATATATACATTTATGAAAACATCACATGGTACTCCATTAATATGTAATAGTTTTCATTAATATCTGTAACATTAAATTATTCTAATTATAATAGTTGTAACAATGGTTTTCTGTCAATAGGTCAGTGAGGAAAAGGGTAAGAATGAAGAAGCATGTCAGTGGTGCGAACCTTGGCATGTGTGCTGCAGTGGACTACGCATATCACTGAAAGCTCTGTTGCTGTGGTTTTGTTTGTTTGTTTGTTTGGTACCAGGGATCAAACTCAGGACCTTGAGCTTGCAAGGCAGGGGAGCAGCACCACTGAGCTAAATCCCCGGCCCGTTGTGTTTTTATTTCACTGTATGAATTGCATTTTTCCAAGCTAAAACTTCAGTATTCAGGTTTAATGGCAGTATTGGCACTTTGTGATAAAGAAGTCGGTTTTGGGCTGGACACTGTGTCTCTAAAAGGTTTGCCATCACTGGAGGACATGGATAATTACTGCCATAGAATTTCAAGAGCACTGCTGTGTTCTGCTGGAAAGGAAAGCTTCTCCTCAAAGAGCTAAGAGACTTTCTGAGCAAGGCACTCACCCTGTCCCCCAAACAGCAAAACACTAACAGAAGGATGGCCTAGAAATGCAAGCCCTATTTCAGGGATTTCTCTTTTTACCCACAAAAGTAACCTGGAAATCTTGGTATTTTGATGTTTAAACCACATCCAAGACCACCTCTGGAAGCTAAAAGTCTAGTCAGCCCAAGCACCCTGGTTTGTTTTGGAAAACATAGCCAGTCTGCTCAAAAGGCTCTGAGTGGTAACAAAGAAACCTCTTCCTTCAACACCTGCTGCTCTAAACCAGAAACCCCATCAGCAGGTGCAGCCAGGCTTCTGGGGAATATAATCAAGTATTCTTCGATTCTATAAAATAGGAGCCCATAAAAATGGAACTTCAATAGAAAGATGAGCACTTCATCAAAACAACATATAAGTTGCTCCTTGCTTCTATCAGAAGTGACAATTCCAAAAATGTTACAAAAATTCTCTGAACTAAAGACTGTACAAGCCTCTTCACTCAGTGAAGAAAAAAAGCCCTTAAAATTAGAATTCTAGGTTCATGGGTATTTTGTAACATCTCACAATGTAAAAGACTATCAGCTGATTTATTATACAAAATGAGAGCCATAAGGAATTCAGGGTGGTGCTAATGAGACAGCCAACCTTTGATGGGACTTTAACTTGGCTTCATTTTAATTCTTGCTGTCACAAAATTGTTATAATAGAAAATCATGTTCCATTAGAGAGGTGGAAAATGCACAGCACATTTGCTCCCACCGCACCCTCCATGCCCACAGCAGATCCTGTCTTCTCGGGGACAGACTTTGCTTCACAGGACAGCTGAACAGAGAGTTCCAACAAGGCATGAAGACACGAGAGTCAGAGGCCACTGCCAATGCTCCTTCGGAGTGACTGCTTTCCTCAACATCTACTAGGCAGCATTCTGTGACACAAAAAGGAACCCACTTGACTTAAACTATGGCTACTCATAAGATGTGCTTGATATACTGTTAAGAAGCATGGATGGAAAGAAGAAAAATAAGGGCTGTTACCCTGTGCCTATCTCCCTCAGTTTCCATCACTGCTACTGTAAACAGACAAAAGATGACATGAGTCAACCACTGACCTTATGAAGAGCAGGAGCCAAGACAGGGACCAAGAATCCATTGTAGATGTAATTGACAAGCTGATGGCGAATCAGGGGGTGAGCCACCTAGGACAGACACAGGCATCAAAAAGGTAAGAGTTCAATCATTAGGTCTTCTTCTTTTTTTTTTTAGGTTTTTTTGAGACATGGTCTCACTATGTAGTTGAGACTGACCTGGAACTCACTATGTAGCCCAGGCTGGTCTCGAACTCACAGCGATCCTCCTGCCTCAGCCTCCCGAGTGCTGGGATTACAGGCATGCGCCACCACGCCCAGCAATCACTAGGTCTTCTTAAAATCAAACATCTCTGTGAACATCCTGAATTCAAAAAGAAAATCCAAATTTTAGCCATTTATTCAGTGTTTAGAGTGATTTTTTTTAATTGACTATAAAATTAGAATTTCAAGTTTGGGGGAAAATGGTAATTTTAAAGAGGGTGGGAGAAAAAAGATAAGACTATATCTCTAAGGACTCATAAAATAAAAACTGGAAAGTATAATTTTGACCCCAACTTCCTCTCAACTTGAGACTATTTTAAATATATAATTGTTAAAAGAGATAATACATTTACTTTGTTAGCAAAAAGAATTTCCTCTTTTTGGTATTCATTTATATTGGGGAGGAAGGGATTTAGAAAATATTTTTATAAAAAATAGACGATATTCAAAAGCAAAACTCATTATTGGAAGTACAGTATTTCTTATACTTGATTTTTGGAATATACTTAGCATGAGTAATTCTTTCCTACTATCTTTTTTAAGCAGTCATCTTTCTAGTAGTAACCCTAAACAAAAGTTCGTGGAAGTATTTAGTTTCAACTGCTTATTCTTTACCAAGTCCACTAGTTTATTTCTGGATGTGTGAGAGACAGATAGAAACAGACAGACAGAAACAGAGAGAGAGGCAGAGAGGAGGTGGGGAGAAAAGAAAGAATATAAAAGCAAACAATAAAGTAAAAAAGCAATTTCTAGGGAAATGAGGCTGGATGTTTAAATTACTGATAATCTCCCTGTCTGTACATTTGGAGAAGAACTAATAGTAATTCCATCGTTTTTATTTCCACACACTTCTACAAGAAAATGTTGATAGACTATAATATTAAATGAAAAAATAATTTAAAATGCAATCCATTTATTTTATATATAAATAAAACCTCCTGAGATGCAGCAATAAAAATGAGATGGAAACTAATTTACTCACATTTTCTTCCAGAAGCTATTTCTTTATTTGGTAGATAAATAGATTATAACTAACATTTTTTACCCCATGACTGCTATAAAATACCCAATTTCTTAATAAACCCAATAATGGTGTATAGAAATATAATATTTTTGATGAAATATAGTCAATCTTTAAATATATATAAAATCAAATTTTTATTGAAAATAGTACCAAGAAACCTGAAGGTAAGAATCTAATCAAAAAGCCAAATACACAAGAGTTCAGTGGCTGTTTTTATTCCCCTAACACAGACCAATTTCAAAGCAAATTTAATTTGTATTGCTAAGAAGATGGTTAACTTCTAAATTCAATTGGGATAACAATATTCTTTATGTAGTATGCACCATTAAGCAAAATAAAGTGTTTCCTTTGTAGACTCCCAAGAAGACCGTGAAGTAAAAGTGTTATAATTTGGAGTACTTAAAAGCCTAAAAATATCTATTTAATGAGTTAGGCAGTGAACTTATTTTTGATAGTTAAGTGGATAATCAAAACAGAATTAACACTTTCTACAGACAAGATAATTTATTTTTTTCTTCAGCTCAAACTTTTCATGAACCTACAAACTGTTTTCTCTCATTCAAGGACATTCGGTGGGCTTAAAGTAAAGCATCAGTACTCTACATACATTTATTAAAATGAAAAGGAATGTGTATAAACACTAATCCTGGGTGAGGCCTGGGCTCCCAAAGGGACCAGGCAAGGGGTGGTGTCCTGTACTCCCTACCTGAATGACCGCATTGCAGAACTCCAGGGAGTTCATGAACTGCACAAGCGGTGGGAGCAGGAGCCAGTCGTCCTTCAGGAGGCAGTGCCACTCCTCACCTTTCTCTTCCAGCTTCGTGGGCAGGGAGGAGTACAGCCCACTGAGACCAGTTGCCAGTACCTGTGTTCAGAATAAAACTGTAATTTTTTTTCTGAGATTTGTAACCTGCAATTAACAACTCACAGATTTAGTCCAAAAACTGAATTCTGAGCAGCAAGGTATTAAAGGCATTAGAGGAACAGGTAGCTAGGAAGGATTCAACAGGTGGAAAGGACCATGCCAGTAGGTGGAACGCCAGTCTTGGCTCCTACACATGTGGTTGGCAGGGGCTGCTCATCAACAGTGTGCCAGCCACCACACCGGGCTGGGACTGCGGAGATGAAAGAGGTAAAACAAAGACGAGAAAAACATGATTCCTGCCCTCCCCATACATTCGTGATGAGGACAAACTCATCATACAGTACAATTCAATGAGTGTAAATACACAGAAGCATTTCAGCAAAAATAGCTGTGTCTTCAGGAGGAAGCCCCAGGCTGAGATGGTGTAGGACAGAAAGCACAGGTAAGAAGTGCACAGAGCTCTGTGGAAAAGGTTCCTTGGGATTCCTTGTATGTTCAAGGCCATCACTGACACATGTTTAGGGTTAAAAACAGTTCTCTGTACATTATCTCATCTGATCTTCACAAACCATAGCAAAAAGAAAGAGGAAGGGGTCAGTCAATGTGATGACAAGAGTTCAAACCAAGCTAAAGTGGGTCTGTGCTGATGCATTGGCGGAGGGAAAAGAGGAGAAAATAAATAAATTTGAGCCTCGCGTGTGAGGCAGATGTGAGGGTAATCTCACAACATGTGGCATTAACTCAAAACTCCCTTCCTGATCCTAAAATCACTATTATAAGAACAAATGAGAAATCAAAACTGTCAAGTTATCCAATTTGGTCATTAGGAAAATGATGACAGCGCTGGGGATTTAGCTCAGTGGTTCCAGCACATGCCTCACAAGTGGAAGGTCCCGAGTTCGATCCCCAGTACCAAAAAGAAAAGAAAATGATGATAGCCTTAACAAAGAGAGAAATGTAGAAAAGGAACACTGCCAAGAGCTTGTTGATTTTATCTCACAGGACTGAAGGCCTTCTGACTGGGAAGGGATGCTAACTAAACAGCACCTCAGACATCCTGACTTGTCAGATGCACCTGGAGTGGACAGGAACAGCATAGACTGGACACAAGGAAATTAGCTACAAAAGGCACAGGCTGTTGTGAAGTCAAATGGGATGGAAACATTCAAGAAAATATACTGAGTTGGGCCCAGAAAAGAAATAGGGGCATACTTACTGTTTTTACAATCTAATGAGAGATAAACAGGCAACTATAACAGTGTTACAAATGCTCAGAACAACCTGGGAATGGTGGCTCACACCTGGGAGGATACTAACAAAGTTTGAGCCCGGTTTGGACAACTTATTGACTTAGCTTAGACACTGTTTCAAAATAATAAAAGAGCTGGGGGTACAGCTCAGTGCAAAGACCCTGCCCTGAGTTCACTCCCCAGGAGGAAGGGAGGGACTCAGAACATGCAATAGGAAATACTCACAAAAGGCTCTTAATTCAGACTTCAGGGTAGGGGTAGCAGCAGGAAATGCTCTCAGAAGTTATGTCCAAGTTGCTGAAGAACAGACAAGAATCATCCAGAAAGAGTGATGGAAGGAAGATTATTCCAAGCAGAACAAACAGCATGTACAAAAGCTCAAAGGAGAAAGACAAGACAGTGTCCTCTAGGAATGAGAGAAACTTAATACCTGTAAAAACTATAGGCAGAAAAGGCAGCAAGATAAGTAAGAGCTCAAGCCTGCAGAATTGTACAGGCTGTGCTAAAGAACTTGAGGGGCATCCAAGTGGAGAACACAGTAGAGAACTATGTGGGTCTGATTCTTGGAACAGTCTCTGGGCTGAAGGTGATCATCTGAAGTCAGCCATAGGTAGATGATGCAAGAAGCCACACAAACCACAGAAAAAGAAAGGGAGAGAGAGTTCGACAGGTGAGACTTGATAAAGTAACCCCCAGACCCTGACAGCAGAAACAGAGACAGAAGAGAAAGGTGTTCATTACATCCTGGAAAAAAACTTTTCTAGAGACCCTGCCTCTCCTCTGTCCTGTCCCCTCAGCCCTCTCTGTAACCTTCTGTGCAGCAGACATCACTCAGATATTTATGGGTTTATTGTCTGTATTCTGTCTCCCCTGATCTGACTTGCTCGCTCCAGTCCACGCTGGAGAGATGGAAGACTGTTGAGTCAAGTGTACCAATTTGCAGACACCAGCAGTCTTTCCTCAGAGTGACACATCCAACTCTGCCATAGGAGGACAGGCCTGAGATGGCTCAGCACATACAGTGACGGGTCAGCACCATGGGAGGGATGCAGAAGGGTAGGAGCACAGAAGCTCCCTCTGCAACGAGAGAAATGGATGAATATTCCAATCCTGGAGAAATTGAGAGGATTAGCATTTCTCTGTTCTGCTTCCTAGTAATCTTTATTCAAGTATATGTTCACTCACTCATTAAGAATACTGAGCATTTACCCTCACACCAGGCACTGTGTTGTGTATGGGAAATAACAAGATAAGTAACATCATACCCTTTTCTCTTTTTCAAAATCAGGGCATCTGTGGTCCCAAAGGCAAGTGTTCCCTCCTTAAAGTACTTAACTCCTTGTCAACGTACCCAAACAAAGCACTTTAATTCCAATTTTGAATGTGACCCAAATGAGTTGCCTATTATAAATTAGAAACTTCTGGCAAAAGAGAATAGAGTCCAAAAGTTCTCCTTGAAGAGAAATCTAATCTCAATGCCACATTTTGAAAATCAATTACACTTGCTAACTCATGCTAAATTAACCACAGAACAAAGGCTTTAATTCTGCGTACTCCTGGTTTCTTAACCACTTTGAAGCTTTGAAGATGAATTCATAAAGACAAGCTTAATTTGTCTGACTAAAAAGCTGGGAATAACTGTTCAGTATATCAATATAATTACAGCAGCATTAATTTTCAAATTACATACATCAGTGACAGTAATTAAAAATAACACATACCTAATCCTCACTTTTTCAATGACTATTCTGAAAAAGGCATGGCTGAGATACAAAAGGGGAGAAGCCTGTCCAGATGGAAGGACGCTGCCTGTCCAGAAGGAGCCCCCATCCAACGCGATGCTGGCTGGGGAGACCCACCGCTCTCCTGCCACCACGGAGTGGGGCGAGCAACCTCTCTATCTGCCTCAGCATGGCAAAGAAACATGGGAGAAAATATTCTGCAGAATGCTGTCCATAGCCTTAAGGACAAGATTCCCAATCTTTACTATTTAAATCCTTCCTCCTGAGCTCTGATCAGAGTTCAGATTCGTTCACAAAGATGACACATTTTTAGAATACAGTCTGGGCGCCTGGCACAGGCAAAGTTGGTGCTGGTGAAAGAACAGGGAATGATTCAGAGCTGGTGGTGTGGAGAAGAGTGCTCACAAGGGAAGAGATGTAAAAAGACAAAGGAGTCCAGAAGCCCAGAGAGGGCTATGGGGCCAAGGAACAGGTAAAAAGGAGACACAACCAATAAGTGTATAGGCATCTTTTTTCCAGATTTGAGGGCTTACTAGCACAATCTACTATACTTACTTTTACGTTTTTTAACTTAAAAATGAAATTATAAAAAATTAAGTATTTATATTTATATTGATTCAAACCACAAAAAAAGGGTAAAACATTATATTTCCAACACAGTATTAACCTAATATTTATTTAGGATGACAATGGACAAAAAGCAAAGAACTTCCCTCAGAGCACTGTGGCATTGTAGGTGCTGAGACCATGGGTTTTCATATCAGACTAATGTTTCAGTTCAGCTTCTCCACTGATTAAAGCTCTCTAAACTTCAATTTCTTAACTGAGTTGTTGCAAGGATGAAAGAAAACAGTCCAAGCAGCTAAATTAGGATAATAGTTTACACATACTGTTTCCAATGGAGAAAATAAAGGTGACATGCAGAGCACCAAACAAGTAGCATTGATCTTTAACTTTAAACATCTAATGGTAACCAGTTAATTTTGGCAAAAATACAAATTTTTAGCAGATGGCTTTAGTCTGAAGCTAGCAGCAAAACACCTGGTGGAGACCATTTGATACAACTTGTCAAAATAAAAAGCCTCATAAATTTTGGATATGGGTTAATAACGTCCCACACCTGCAGCTGTATACCTAAAGGTCACTTACTTCCATATACATTTCTTGATTTATGTATACCAAGCTGTTTTCTACATTTGCTGGCATATAACAAATGATATATGAGTTTAACCATCAAATCAGTTTAAAAAAAAAAAAAAGTAGTGATAGAGCCACTGAGTCCCCAAATATTTGCTGGCACCAAACTGTTCTCTAGAGTATCTTTATTTTCCTTCTTTTCTTAGGAAAGCACATCTTGAGATAAGCAGCAGAACCAACAGGCTCTCCCTATCAGCTATAATGACAAACATTTCCAAAAGGCTTCAATTTACTGAAAGAGTTATTACTCTTCCAACAGCCTAATGCTAACACACTGACAATCACACTAATTACAGAAAGCTTTTTGTCAATTGTGGCCCTTAGCTGGATGGTTAATAGAGTATGCTTTTATCTTCAAAATAAACGGGACTTTTTAAAAATTATGTTGTCAGATGTAATTATAGAAAACTGGGTACAAATGAGATTACAGAATCTATCCTGAGGGGCAACTTAACACAACGAAGCTTGTCTTCTATGCTAGCAAAGAAGGTCAGCTGAAGATGTTTTCCTTATGATTCTAATTAACAGTGTAATGTTTTAAAACATGTTTTTATAAAAGCAACAATTAGTGAAGTCTGCTTATAACAGTACAAATCTAAACATTAAAAATATGCTCCTACCAGGGATTTAGCTCAGTGTTTCTGCCGCCTGCCTTGCAAGCTGCAAGGACCTGAGTTCGATCCCCAGTACCAAAAAAAAAGCTCTATTCTTGTCCTAACACATTTAAAATTTTAAATTCTGAAATATTACAAAAATATAAAACATAATAAATATGAAACTTATTGCCAAGACATCACAGATTTTAATATTTTTCTAATTTCTTCCGAATAATTTGTAAATTTGCAAAAGTAATTTACCTACTGGTAGAGCACATACATGCTTAAGCACATGCGAAGACCTGAGTTCAAGCCCAAGCATCAAAAATAAAATATTACAAGTAGAACTAAATGCTACTGCAGTCTCATTACCACTCCTTCCCTTCCTTCATCTCCAAAAAGAAACTAGTCTTAAACTTAGTACAAATTATTCCTGCGCTTTTTTACTACTTTGACTGTATAAATGTAAATACCCAAAAAAGTGGGCACTAAAACTTTGTGTTCTAAAACTTTATGAAAATCTTACATAAATACTAACATACTTATGTAACCTTTAGCTATTTACTCATTTTTAAATGTTTTTCAGTTTATTCATCTTCATACATGCAGATGTAGTTACATGCTAATATATATGATTTATTCACTTTGAAAACTAAATAGTATTGTATTAATGTATGAAAAAAAACTAGTTTGTTTATATTTCCTTTCATATATTTCTACTTTTTTCTTCAAACTGGTGTTCTGTCGCATACCCTTATAAACACATACCAGATTTCTCTAAGGCATATTTCCAAAGAGGTATAGGATCATACAATATTCAAATGTTCAATATTAGTAAATACTGCTATAGTGCTTTCCTAATGTAGCATACCAATTTGCATTCTTAAAAGTTCTTGTTTTTCCATACTCTTGATACACCTGGTGTATGCACAGGTCTAATTGTTAGCCACTACGATGAGTATTAACTAGTATGGCATTGTGGTTCAGTGTGCATTTCCTAATTTGAGGGAAGGTGAGCATATTTTCTTATGTCAACTGGCTCTGGATTTCTTCTGGGGTTGTCCATTCATAGCCTTTGCTCATTTTTCAAGTGACTGTTTTTATCTTTTTCTTACTAATTTGTAGCATTACAAATATTTTTCATATTTAACTCTTCATAGCTACATGCATTGTAAATATTTTCCACAATCTGTTTTTGTTCTTAATTCCAGTCTTTTCTTTACAACTGTACTGTGTGGGGTACCTTAAAACGTTATTATTTATGTACACAAGTTCTTTTGTGAAGACTGCCCAGCTTCAAATCCTGACTCTATCATTTTAGTCATGTGTACTTGTATAAAGTTACTTAAATGTCTTTGGACCTGAATTTCTTCCCATATAAAAAGAGGAAATAATATCAGCATCTATAGTTATAAGGATTCAATGAATCCGATATATGCAAAGCACTGAGAACAGATCCTAACACATAGTGAGCTTCCAACAAATACAAGGTATCAGTATTATCACTCATGATGACCTCAGCTATTTTTGTTCCTTTTTAACACTTTAGCTAACTTCTAATATCAATTTGTCATATGCCATAAAATACACTATTGAGATTTTTGCTTAAATGACATTAACATCCCACAAACTGCACCTTACAATTATAAAGATGAAACTGTAACTTTACAATGTTCCAATAGCTGCCTCCTTAAACAAATGAGCATCGTCAATAGTGGGACAACCTAGCTAACACAGGCCTCTTGATGTAAGGCAGTAAGCAGGCAACTACAAAATACTCAAGCTGAATTTTTTTTCAACCTAAATTTAACTGAACAAGCAGGCCTAACTCCACTTTACAGGAAATATAGGGGATAGGGACAAGTCAAAGTACACAAGAAACAATCAAACAAACCCAAATGTGGGGTGTTCTGTAAGACAACAGCCTGGTCCCTTAAAAAAGTTAGTGTCAGGGGGAAAAAAGCCGCAGGCTATTAGATATTAATAGAAACTAAAGAGATATGACAGCCAGAGGTACTGGACTCTAGTTGGAGGAGGATGACTGTGAAAGTAACTGTAGGCATAATGAGATAATTGGATATTAGATCACATTAAGACATTACTGTATAATTTTCTTAGGTAAAGGTATTGTGCTTATATATGAGAATGTCATTTGCAGAAGATATATACTAAAGCATTTGATGTCTACAACTTCATTTTAAATAGTACAGCAAAAACAAAAGGTACATAGGAAAAATAGATCAGCGAATGACAATATATTAGTAATATTGAATCTTAGTGATCAATATATAACATTCACTTTAGTATTCTCACAATAAAAAAAAGTTATAAAACATAAACTGCACTAACTTTGCAAGTAGATTTTGCAGGAATGTTCCATCTATATGTGACCTACAAACTATAGAGCTTTCGATTTGTTTAGACTTCTTTATGCTGTTCCAACAATAACAATTTTCTCTGCAAAAGACTTCAAATATTAGATTTTGAGGGAATTCATGATGGTGTTGCTTTTGTAAATGTTATCTTAACTTGGTTTTGTAGTAAATCACCTTAATATTGTGATGCCCTATAACAATGCCTGCTCTCCTTTACAAAAGAACTACACAGAACAATTCAAATAAGCAAAAAACAAACCCTATATAGTGCCCTCACAAAACTGCCCTTATTTTTAGGACTTAACTGTTGTGGAGTAGTTTAAGGCTTACAATAAAGTTGAAAGAAATTCACAGAGATATCCCATGTACCCTCATCCCTGCACATGCACAGCCTCTCTCATTATCACATTTCCCTGCCAGAGCGGCACTTTTGGGGTTTTTTTTTAACCACTGATGAACCTACAAGTACATTAACACATCTTCATCACCCAAAGCCCGTGGTTCAAACCAGGGTTCCCTTTGGAGCCACACATCCTATGAGTCTAGACAAATGGATACTGATATACATCCACCATTACACTGCCATACAGAGTATTTTCACTGCCCTTCCTCAGGCCCCCTTACGCTTCACCTATTCATCTCTCTCCCTGGAAAAAAAATCTGGAAAAAAAATATGCTATGCTTGCCATGGTTTTGTTTTTTCCAGAATGTTGTAGAGTTGTACTTGCAGTCTTGGCAGGTGATGGGGTTTCTTTCACTCAGTAATATACATTTAAGGTTCCTCTATGTATTTTCATGGTTTAATAGCTCACTTTTTACCTAAGAAATATCCATTATCTGGATATACAGTACTAGTTTTAATGCATCCATTGAAGGACATTTTGCTAAGTTTTGGCATTAACACAGCTGCTATAAACATGCATGTGCAGGTTTTTGCGTGGACATGTTTTTACTTCCCTGGCTAAATACCAAGGAATATAACTAACTGATGGGTCATATGCTAAGAGAATGTTTAGTTTTACACATAACCACCAAACTGTCTTCTAATGTGGCTGCACTATTTTGCATTTCCACCAGCAATAAATGAGAGTTCGCATTACTCTGTACCCCCACTGGCATTTGGTGTTGCCACGGACCCTGCACACTAAATGTTAATTGAACCACTTCCCTACCACCTCATGCCCCTGTGACAAGCAAACACACTCCCACACACATTTCTAAGTGCCTTCTAGGGAGTGCACAAAATAGCATTAATTAAAATGAATCTAATCTATCTAATCTAATCAATTTGCCTGGCCTGTTTCAACAAAACTAAAGGATCTTACACACTGTTCCACATACTTGAGTCAATACTGTTTATAAAGACTGTAAAAAGAATAAACTAGAACTAAAGTGGAAATGTTAAATGAGCTGAGAAAGTACTGATAGCTATTACCCAACCAGCAAAAGACATTAATCAATAAATATGTTCCCAAAAAGGCACTAACACCAAAAACTAAGGAGGGCCCTAAGACCTCCTATGAGTCCCAGACTGCCCTGATTCTTTTCTGGAACTGACTCAGCTTGGGCTACTAGAATTTCTGCAAAGAACCTTACACTTTATTTCTCACTAAACCACGAACGTATTAAGAAACAATAAAGACTATTTCTTTTTACATAAAATTGCAAATATGTATTTTTTTAATAAAATCAATGCTTCCAATCTATAACTAATGGCCATTATCTTGCTAAGAAACAAATTAATTTGTGAAGCCAGTTGTGAGTAGTCTTACCACATGCTTTCATTCAATGGAACAAAATGAATCTAAAAACCTTAGAATTTAGAAAGTGTAAGCTTTACCAATCTTTCAAGAACTTAGTCTCCGAAAAAAAATAAAATTGTTCCCAACCAAAATGAACCAAGAAAGGCAGCACATCTAGTTTCATCTGTTGGCTTATTTTGAGCTGACACTGCTCAGCTAAATAGCATCTCAGTTTAAACTCCCTATTTCCTACAAAGATATCTTCCAAACATCTTCCCATAAAAGAAAAAAACTGGAGGGGCTGGGGATTTGGTTCAGTGGTTCCACCACCAGCCTCACATGAGCAAGCGCTGGAATTCAATCCACCATACCAAAAAAAAAAAAAAAAAAAAAAAAAAAAAAAAACCTGGAATAAGAGAAATAAAAAGCATTTATCACCTGCAGAGAAAATGAGAAAGGGTGGGACTTACTGGACAAAAATAGGTGTTTTCCACGATGTGATGGGCCACCATGCTGTTCTCGGCAGAAAGAGACATGATAAACAGCAAAGCATCCCGAGCTTGCTGGCCAACTGTCCCTTCGCGATGAATGAAGGGAATCAGGAGGGAGAAGATAAGGAAGTTGGCAGCCCCTTGGTCCTCACTAGTGTGGAAAAAGAGTTCCAGAATGGATGGATCTTTGGTAAGGATGGAACAGAGTTGACTGAGGAGGACAACCAACTTCCCCTCCACAGCTGCAGTGGTCGTTCCTGAACAAGAGCTGAGCAACATCATCAGAGGCTTCAGAATGGGCTTATGATGCAGCAGAGGCTGGTGTGATTGGGTGACCAACATCTCATACATCTTCAGCTGCTCAATTTTAGTCTCATCAGTAAACTCCCGTCTCAAACTCCAAAGGAAGAGCTTCTCCATTATGTTCTCAGAGACCACAAATTCCAAAATTGGCCCCATTGCAGCATCCTTGGCTTGCTCTTCAATGAGCAAGAAAAGCATGTGTTCTACATAGTTCTGCACAGCGCTGGCCTCATCCAGAGGGATGGACCCATATTTTGCCTGGGAGTTCTTCAAGGGGTCATGCTTCTCCAAGATTTTTACAACCTGTGACCAAATTAAACACTCATCACCAATCTGATCTTTATCATAATCACAAAAACACACCACCTCTGTCATCACCAAAAACACAGGCACTATTGCCCGCTTCTTAGTAAATATCTTCGCATTCTATTTCTCTCTCTCATAAAACAAAAGGGTTAGACTTGGAAAATGTTTGAAGATACTTGTTTATAACAGTTACAAATTTTGGCAGCCTAAGAAAACAGCATGGCAATGCAAATTAAGATACATAAATTCTTTGGACTACTACTATTAAGCCTATTGAGAAACATGAAAAATTCTAACTGCCGTTCAGATTTTTTTTAAAGTAAGCTCTTTGTGTTAGATCCACAATTATAAAATATGTTTAAAACATAGGTGAAAACAAGTAAAAAGAAATAAGCAAAAATAATCACGTGTCCAAAGGAATGACAGGTTCTTAAATTTTTGTTTAAACTGTCAAAAATGTGTTGCTTCACATGTGTAAATACCGAATAGTTTCTCTGGTGTGAATAATCTACAATAATACAGAAGATCCTAATAAGATTACTGACATTGAGAAATGGGAAGAAAGGAGCTAAAGGTGTAGGGAAGGTGTGATGGGCAGGGGAAGGGTAAAAAGGGAAAAGAAATAAATGTGAGTAATGAAAAGATGGAAATGAAGTGGTAGTAGATGGGGAGGGGAGGAGGGGGTGAAGGGAGGGCAGGGACAAGGGGAATAAATGAGAACCAAGACCTGTCATGTAGAGGTACAAGATCCCAACAATGAATATAACTGTACTGTATCCCTAAAATGTACCAGTAAACTCAATTAAAACTGAAAAAAAATGTGTTGCTTTTAAATTTTAAAATACATTCAACAAGTAAAAATAAAAAAACCTGACTACCTGTCCTCTCATATAAATGGAGTTGCTTTGGAGAGTTCAGCAGAGAAGCAGGGCCACTTGTGTGCCCTTGACAACACAGTACTGCTCCCTCCCTTGCTTGAAAGAGCACCTCTTCAAGCTAGCATGCAGTAGTGGGAAGACGATGACAGAAGAGTGATGAACAAGAGCCGAAATCAAGCTGAACACACAGAACACAGAAACTCAGAAATGAAGGGCACGGATGCTGCATTTTCTTTGGGCTGAAAAAATGTTGAGATAACTAATTGTAAAACAAATCCCTAAAGTTTGGAGTGATTTAAAAAGTTCTGGAAATGGTGGTAATGATTATGAATGTAATTAATGCTACTGAAATATATACTTCAAAAGTTAATATTGGCCTATTTTGTTAAATATACTTTACTACAAAAACAAATCAATGGACAGTAAAAAAAAAAAAAAAAAATCCCTAAATAAGTCATGTAACAACCCTGGTCTACTTCTCTCCCTTACTATTGTTGGCATTTGAATACTTCTCTCCCTGCCCTTGAGATTTACTTCTACTATGGAACTTAAACATTCAAAGAATTTTATACTTCAACTTCCACTTAACTTTATGACTTGGGATTTCTAATAATTTCTATCCAAATTATTCCCTTAAAAACGTACATCTATGATAATTTTAAGTAACCAAACATTTGATTTAGGACTTTATCCTTGTTCCTTTTTGCCTTTCTGAGCTGTACACAATATATGTCTTCTGCATTACTCTCCTGCCCTAGTCCTATGACATGTTCTTACACATCCTTTACTTAGGTTACAGAATTTCTGCAAGCCAGCAAATATACAGTGCTATATCAGCATGCATGAGCAAGGAGGGCAAGTTATTTCTCAGGGAAAAATCTCAGTTTCTCTCTGTCAAAAGCAGAAAAAAAGAATCTTTATAGAACAGGAAAGACAAAATGAATAGATTTCCACAATCTATACTCTCTATCAACTTCCATTATAAAACTGATAATGCTGTATCACAAAGGAAAAATTTACCCCCAAACTCTAGATTTGACAGTTTTTACTAATGAAGGCCTTCTATGGGCATCAGTGAAGGGGTACATGGCCCAGTGACGTGACCATGGCACAACCACCAGACATCCTCCTCTTGGTCATTTGGCTGCAGCAGATGGGTACTATATCACATCTCTTCCTAGTAGGCCAGAAGGTCTCGCTGGCAGCAGACCTGGCTCTCTGCCTTTCCTACTGGTTGGAGCCTTGCAGTAGCTCACTGAGTAGGAGCACAGAACTTTGGTCCAAGAGAGACCTCCACCTCAACACAACATACTCTGAAGCCCCAAAAGTTCCTCACTAACATCAAGGGTCCACATTCTGAAGAATGTGCAGTGTGCCTTACGTAAGTACTCTACAACTGAGCTATGCCCCAGCTCTGCTATCAGAAATCTTAAAATTTTAAACAGAATCAAACAGCTTTTAAGCAGCAGCAACTTAAACCTCCTCACCACAGCTCCTTCCTCCAGCCTTTTGGGTTAATGGGCAGAGAAACATGAGAACAGTTCTAAGAACCTGCAGTGCACTATTCTGAGTCCCAGCCTTGGTCTGGTGGTTTTACTATCGGAAGATGGGTGTGTTTCAAGCAAGTTCTGTCAGTCATGAAGCACACGATGTTCAGCACAGTTCTGATCATTCCTGTTGCCACATATCCTGAACCTTACTCCTTAGGTGTCAGGATCCTCCCAGGCTCACACCCTTTCCCTTCTAGGCAGGCACAGCCATGACCTGCTTTTCAAGTGAGTTCCAGGGCCAACACCCTGAGACTGGCTCCTGCCCTGGCAGGGAATGCCTAAGCAGACCTTGGCTAAGCACAACTGCACTAAGGTGCGAAAGAGCTGCTACCCCCATGTCCCAACACTACAAGCAAATGCTATGAGGGTTCTGAAGGCTTCTGCTGACTGATCCCTGCTGTGACTTGAACTCTTATTTTGTGCCCTATTCTCATATCACTTCCATAAAACTCCAATGTTCCTGTTTCCCTGACTTCTGCTGACTACCTAGTTTCACCCACTTATCAACTCTGGCTGTCCAGTCTGATGGATGCCAGCATTCCATTCTGCTCATAATGCCACCCCCAGACCCGGTCCTTCCTAGGACTATCTACAATCTCAGACTATCAACTTTGCTTCAGATTTCTCATCCACAGCCTCTACCGTTAAGTCTCAGGGATTCAGTTCTGGGGTAAAAACAGATTACTTAGGGAGGGAAGAGAGAGTAGTAGTAGATGAGAGAATAAAAGCAAGCAAAATACACCTCACAATATTTTTTACAAAATAAGTTCATGTTGTTAGGCTGAAAACACTATTTAATAAACTAAGCCAGATGTAAAGATACATGCCTTAATCCCAGCTAATGGAGAAGCCAAGGCAAGAGGACTGCGAGTCTGAGGCCAGCCTGGGAAATTTAAAGACACCTTGTCGCAAAATGAACAAATAAACAAAAAAAAATTTTTTTAAGGGTTCAGGTTATAATAGTTTGCCTAGCATGCACAAGGCCCTGAGTATAATTTCCAGCACAGAAAAAATAAAATAATCAACAGGTGTTAAAGCCTATACTCAAGTAAGCCAGCTGATGAGATAAGAAACAGAAACTTAAAATATTTTGCTGATCATAACTAGGCATTTCTCAGCCTACAAACTTTAAAGAAATACAGGATTTTGTGCATGCACATGTGTGTGTGATGAGCCTAGACCGCGTTCATACCCACGTGCAAACACAGTGAACAGTGGTGTTCAAAGGATCATCAGACCAGAGCAGCTAAATTAAGCCTAACTTCAAGGCCATCTGACCTATAAGTATTATGATTCCCAGGACTGAATAAAATTTCTTTCATAAGAATAATGTTGCTATCCTTGTCCCTAATGACACCCCCCCTACAGTCAAATAATGGCCTAAATTTTAAGCAGTCACAAATTCTAAATAGGAAGTTCAAATGCTTTCAGAATAAAAGATCTACATTATAGAATTGCATCTCAAGCTAAAAAATGAATATCCTTCATGATGAATAAGTGTATTTGCTTCAATTCCACCTTATTATTGCTCTGTATCTCATACACATATCTGTATCAATAGGTGCTTATGTTTCTTTGGTTAGAACCTAGTTACTTCAAGAAAGACACATGAGTAAAACCCATACTTCCAAATCCTTTGAAATGTTAATCTAATGTGTCACCATGGGAAAAAAAAAACAAGTTACTAAGTAACACTTTCCATCACACAACAAAAGGACAGGATTTAACTGTCATAGGCCAAATTCCACTTAATGTACCAAATACCTAAAACAAAAGCATGTTTACATCCAGCTCTTGTTCACTGCTAAACAGCCATGTCTTTTTTAATTTGGAGTATTCCTTAAACACCTATTTCTTTTTAAATCAAGGTAACAGCCTTATAGTATGTGCTCACTTGTACACATTGTTAATGTCAACTCCAATCTTCAGTGCCAGAGCTTGTCCAAATTTAGGATAAGAAAGAACAAAGGAGGAGCTCTGTAGACTTAAGGGGAATAGTCAAAGTAAAAAATATTCTAGACAACACTAAGTTTAACCAAGGCAAAAATGAGACTTATCAGTGAGCATGAAGCAAGAAAGCTGCTGACATTTCCACATGCTCTGCCATGTTAGTTTCTAACAGAGGTACAAGTTAACCCCTTAGTACTCTGTCCTCAAGAGGCACAGCTTTTGCTCACTTTATGTTTCAATTTTAAGGTTATTTATAAAGCTGGGAAAGGAGACATAAATTTTTAAAATATAAACACACATCAATTTCGTGAGATAAAAGATGAATCAGAAATCTCTAATTCCCAATTTTTCATCTTTAACTTTACTCTGTCATTTAGTCTATGACAAGGCACACACCAAAAGAGTAAGATAAACAGATTGAGTGAATAAAACTCAAATACACATGTCAAGTCCACGTAGATACTCTAGACTATTCAAGTAAATTCAGGCTACCTAGAGCTCTGCTCACAAGACACTGTTCCTAAACCACACTATCTACTTTTTATTACTGTCGGTAATACATCCGACCAAACTAATGTAGACAATTCCATTTTTTCCCATCCCCACCCCTTTCTTCTAC